GGGAGTGCCAATCCTTTTCTTCTCTTGCCTCTACTCTCTCTCTCGCTTTTTTTTTTTTTTTTTGAAAACTGATGATTTACACATTAGAGTAGAAAGAGCATAACTTATATTTCACATCTCCATAACAGATTTAATTAATTTTATTAGCTTTTTCATTTTTACAGTAGGTTCCATCCTTTTCATTTTGAGAAGTGATGACTGATGATCTTTGACTTGCTACTCTGCCTGACTTAGACACCTGTGATCTTTCAACTTGACAATGTCTCTGTGGGAAATTCAGATAGGGGGCAAATTGTAAATTGGCTTGAAGGCAACATGCAGCAGTATGATCTATTTTTTGTTGTTTTAGTGATACTCTGTTGGCAGTGTGAAAAGATGGATAAGATGCACAGAAATGAAGCTATGGTTTTAGAGACTGCTTGTGTAAGATGATGAGCCAAGACAATGTGAACTAAAGAATTGCAGTGGATAAGCAGAGTTGAGATATTCAAGAGAATTTCAAAGGCATCAAGAAGGGATTCTATGAGTGACTGAGTGGGAACATTCAAGAGTAGAGACCTTTGAGGAAGCGGCAGTGTCTAGCTTCGGTGGGTGACCAACTGAAATATGATTAACTGAAAAAGAGAATAGAAAATAGAAGGTTTGGAATTTTTAAAGGATATATATATAGTTTGCTACATTTTTAATTTGTCACAATTAAATAATACTAGGAGTAGTTATCCAACCAATAATTGAAAAGGTGTCCGTAGACCTCAGAAGTAAAATATGTCTCCTCGGCACCAAGAAAAATGCCAGGCACTTGAGAAGCACTCAACAAGGATTAGACAAATTGAAAAGTAGCAAATGCCATATGCTTTAAAATCATTGAATCAGGGTTTTCTGTTAAATTTCTATGAAGTAAAATACAATTTTTATCATTACTCAAATAGTGACTAAACATTTTCTAGAGTTGTGGCATTAGTGACTCATGTAGGGACAGGAGTTGTAGCAGCTGTCCTCGTAGCCCTCAATCATTTCTCAAATGCTGTTTTCCTGTAACTCTCAAATTACTCAAGGACCACACCTTGCCAGGGCATGAGGCACATCAGCACTAAGAGTCAAGCTCACTAGTTTTTAATTCCCTGGCTCATTTTCTATGACAAGTATGTAATTTTTCTTTAGAAGAAACACAACACCTTTTTTGATGCAGTCATAAATAGCTTTAGTTGTGCCGTAACAAAGGTCTGACCTTTTTTCTAGGGATTGAATTTATATGGAAATCTATTTGCCTCATTTGCATCTTTTTTTTTTCTGGACAGAGATGCAAGATCAAATTTTATCAAATGCATACACATTCAAGTGTATGTATTTATATAGAGCGAAGATGTAGGTACAGATTCAACAGTCTGAAAAGATTTACTGTGTCGGAGAAAATCATTACAACAAATGTTTATTAAGCAGCTTCTATGTGCTGTATATAGGTAGATGTAGGGGCATGGGACACAGTGTAAATAAATGTTTCACAATCTGCCCCCCTGTAAAAGTTGGGAGAAAATAAACAGGTACATTCAATAGAGTAATTGGGGCCACTCTAGGGGCCAACAGGCTGCAAAAAAGCGGCTTCCTAACAGTGGCTATGCCTTTCTAGGGCAAACGTCTTCTTAGTTAAAAACTGCAGCATCAGTTTGAATTAGACTGTTGACAAGAAGAGGGAGGAATGATTCAGGAAGAGGGACAGTATCTCTAAATGCTTAGATGTCAGAAACAGCATGGTCAGTGGAGGGCACTGGAAGCGGTTTAGTATGTCTGGAACAGAGGGTGTGAAAGGGAAGTAGTGAGATCTCAGGGTTAATGAGCCCATGAGTTGGAAGGAAAATAAGTTAAAAGGTAGTGTGCTAGACAGAATAAGTAGGTCAGTGAGTAACAACATGAAAATCAGAGGAAACATGAAACAATTATGCTTCTAATTTCATTGTGACCTTTGCTCTTCGTTGTTAATTAAAGGGATTTAGATTAAAACATGCAATTGTTCTTTGAAGAACTGAGAGATAGTAAATTATTCATAATTTATCCATTTAATTGATCTTAATAATTAATGACTAGTAGCTTTGTATTAGATGCCTGAAGTATAAATATATCAACTAATAATACTTTAAAATATTTCACTTATAATACTGAAAGTGATCTTATGGACTTTGTAATAGATGGTCCACACATGAACTAATTCACTCTTACCAGTGTCTCAAATGTGCTTTCATATTTTTACATCATAGGTGGTTTTTATTTTATGAGTGTAGTGATCAAATAACTTATACAAACTGGGACATTTAAAAGAGCAAGAGAGGTATTATGAATAATTACACAAAGACAACAGACATAAACATGTACTGTCCTGGGTAAACCAAATCTATGATTCTTGTTCACAGTGTATATCACATTTTAAAGTATGCTTAAATGATTACAATTATATAAAATTTAGGATAGTGTTTTGGAATGGAACAAACTTTTTCAGTTGCATGTTTTAATCTTTTCAGATTCTAAAGTTTGTGAACTATTCCACTTTGTCTTCCAAGTTTCACCTTTACATTTTTATTTGTCAGCATGCTGAATAAATCACTGGGAGAAATAGAGGAAAAAATGAACATGATAAATCTCTAATTCGTGGCACTCACCAGCTGTTAAATATACACATAGCTTTTTAAAGCAGAATTCTTCAAAATGTAGGAGACGATACTTCATTTTATTTTTTCTCTGCTTTTGAAACATAAATTGGGATCTAGTCCAACAAAAACTTTTAGGGCCAATGAAAAAATGAAGTATTATTAAAGTAAAGAGAGAGAGAGAGAGAAGAAATGGAAAGATTTACTGTAGAGGAGAACTGCGAGATTGTAGCATTTCAATAGCCCCCTGAACAATACCACAATACTCAGTTATTATTCAAGCAGGTGGTACATTATTATTACAGTTAGATACCTTGGCTTATTATGTCCTTGACTTCACACAAAACATAGTAATTTGAATCTAATAATGTCTGTTAAAACTTCCATTAATAAAAGAAAGTGTTATTAAAACAAAAAAATCTGTGACCTGTTGTAATTGCTTTTTTTTTTTTTTCTGTAATTGATGGACTGAGTTGCACTGTACCCAGGTACACCAGGACAGCTGAATTTGATAATAAAGGAGAATAATTTATTTTTGGTTTCACATGTGGCAGTTTGGAAACAGTGCTTTGTCAAATTTCTTAATTCCCATGGAAAGCAGTACCACAAGACTCCAGGGAGAACCACAATAGAAAATCAGTACACATTGTGGAGTTTTATATACTCCCATAACAATTAACATAGTCAATGTAAGAAAGTGAATCTCATGCATGGCATTTAATACAATCGGTTAAAGTGGTGTTTTTTGTTGAATAAGTCCCAAACCCTTAATAAATGAAATCCCAGGAAACTGCAGTCACCCTTCAGGCTCCTTCCGTGGTCTGGCTCTAGACCTCATTTCCCTGTTAACTGCTTGTAGCCTGTACATTATGTTTCCAAGCTTTCACTTCTGCGCCTCCTTATGTTCAAACGTATTTCCCACTTTTATTCATTGGCCATACTCTTTCAATCCAGCAACATTTAGCTTGGGGTGATCTCCAGAAAATTTCCGTGAGTTTCTAGATTAATTTAAATGTCCCTATTCCGTGTGTCATTACCATTCTTTACATGTCTTCCTCTTAGCATTTGATGTATTATATCTGATTTATTTCATTATATGACTGTTTCCCTTTCTAGACTATAAGCGTTTTCAAGGACAAGGATTGCTGAATAAACACAGGTTCTGTGCTAAGGACATATCTATTAATTGTTAACCAGACAACCATTTCTAAGTATCTGCATATTTGTGAAGTGAAAAGAGCATGGCTCTAGTGTATATAAAACTAAATTTGAAACTCAACTCTGCCCCTTATTAGTAATTAACTCTAAGCTAATCACTTACCTTATCTGAACTTTAGTTTCCACATTTCGTGCAAATGAGAGTAATACTAAAGTTGTGGCAACAATTCAATGAAAAATGCACATAAAGCAGCTTGAACATTGTTCATTCTCAGTAAGCTTCCTTACTTTACTTCCTTTTCATATAATATGTTTACATTTTTCAAAAGGTAAGAAAAATACCATCGGGATGCATTTCTAGAGGTTTTTTTTTCATACTTAAATATGAGAAAGTTGTGTACTATATACAAAACTTATGCTGAATCTTGGCTTTTGCCTTTTGTTGTACCTACAACGCCCAAATTTTCCCAGTCCTCATCTCTGCCTGTCAAATTCCTGTTTTTCCTTCACTGATTAGATTAAATCTCACCATCTCAATGAAGTCCATCGAAATTAATTAGAAGAATATCTGCATTTTTACAGTATCTATTTAATGATTATATTAAACTACAGACATACTATTAAACCAAAAGTGAAATGCCAAATAGATTAACTTAGCTTCGAAATTATTTCAGGTCGAAGATCATCTTTCAATATAAAGAAAATAATGAGATGTGTATTGAACGTATCTTTGGATAGGCAAGACCTTTTATTTTTATGTTGGAAAAATCAGCATTAAAAACACAAAAACACATTAAAATAAAATTAACTAATAAAAATGAAAACAAAATTAAAATAACATATAAATCAAGCACATTTTAGATGTCTTAATTGGTCATGTTTTTGTGGTAAAATGCTAATCCCTTTTAGTAGAAAAAAAATGTGAGAAGACGTAATGAATTGTGTAGAATTGTATACACTTAACCAAGGCATTGGTTACATATAAGAATATTTAGCATTTTACCCCATAGTACTATAAAAAGTTATTCTAGAGAAAAGCAATGCCATATATTAAAACTGGACTTCGCTTTTTTTAAACAAAAAATTGTTTGCTGTCCACATTAATTTTAATTTTATAACAAAAACCTGCCTACAGTAGCCTCTACAGATTTATCTGATTAGCAGTTCATAAACACAAGGAAATAAGATATTAGCTTAATTTACCTTAATAACCAAATCAAATTTCTGGTGAAAGTCTCTGTTGACTGGCTCCAGGAGACTAAGTTCTGCTGTCCTAGGATGCATATGGAAAAACCGTGGGTAATCCTCAGGAGTCCCTGGAAGACATTGAGATTTCAGTACATAATTGAGAACAATAAGTAATATGTGTATCTGCTTCATCTATTTCCTTTCATTAACTGAGGAACAAAGTTACAATTTCATTACTAAATTAAGTTTCAAAATTATGCAGTCCAGGGAAAGCAGACACAAATGTGGTATATAGTTATTCATAATTAGTGTATCAGTAAGAAAATGGAAAATATTTGTTTGGATGATTTTTGAAAATCCTTTTTCTTAAGAGGGCTCTAATTAATCTGAAACTTCATCACGTGAAAATAGATATTAAGTGGAGGAAGAGTACATTTTTGATTATGAAATTTTATTTTAATGGTGCATACATCTTAATTATAGCTATTTGGTCTTTCAACATATATTGTAATAAACTATTAGTAATTTGTACCAAATAGTGAGATGCTTGGAAATTAATATGAACATATTTTGTTCCATATATTACTTCTTAAGATTTATATCAAGCTAATTATGTTAACCAGAGTAAATTAAATATAGGTTCTGATGATACTCTTAATGTCTAGACAGGGTATTTATTTATTTATTTATTTATGAATGAATGAATGAGATGGAGCCTTGTTGTGTCAGCCAGGCTGGAGTGCAGTGGCTTGATCTCGGCTCACTGAAACCTCTGCTTCCCTGGTTCAAGTGGTTCCCCTGCCTCAGCCCCCGAATAGCTGGGATTATAGGCGTGCGCCACCATGTCTGGCTAATTTTTGTATTTTTAGCAGAGACAGGGATTTGCCACTTTGTCCAGACTGGTGGCATCCGGTGATACGCCTGCCTAAACTTCCCAAAGTGCTAGAATTACAGGTGTGAGTCACCAAGCCTAGCCAAGATGGTATTTCTTAATGTATTTTAATAATCAAAATACATTTCTTCATGAAGAAATTTCTTCTAATTGTATAATCTTCTTTTGTGTACTGCAACATTCTTTACCCAAAGTGAAGAAGTCAAATCATAAAACTGTATAGTATATACATTTGTAAAATTAATAACCATAAGAGTAAAATAATATAGCTTCCAATTATGGAAACCTACTCTGTGCTAAATGCTTTATATAACTAATCACCAATACCTCTGTAAATCATTTACATTTTACAGATGATGACTTGGGAGACTGGGGAGATTAAATGATGTATTTAATTTAAAGGGACAATCTGAAACAGAGCTTTTATTAAAAATCCAGACTGCCAGATGTTCCAACACATCCAAAAATGGGCTTCTTGTTACTACTTATTTGCCTCAACTCTTAGACAAGAAAGGAAATTCTCCTGAGCAGTAAATGAGGGGAAAACAAAAAGCAGAAACATATTTTACACCATTAAAACCGACTGTAAAATCTACAAATAGTCAAAATTATAGATGAAATGTAACATATGATAAAGGGGTTATATAGGAGTTACATTCTTCATGGAATATACATGAGTAAACCCCAAATGAAGAAGATATTCATAATAAATAATAAAAAAATGAACACTAGTCATAGATGAAAATGTGGATGAATTTTACTCTAATGTAAGAGTGGGCAAACCTTTCCTAACTATGGCTCAAAGTCAAGAAGTCATGAAGAAAAAGAGAGATAAGTTTAATGATATTGCAAAATTGTATGGTGAGACACAATAAAAAAGTAAAATCACAAGTGACAAACTGAGAAAATACTTGAAATTTATGTAGAGACAAAATGTTCATACCGTATATATATATATATATATATATTTATAAATTAGCTAAAAAGAGGGCCAGTGAGGTAAAAAGTGTGGGGCTGGCCGGGCACAGTGGCTCACGTCTGTAATCCTAGCAGTTTGGGAGGCTGAAGTGGGCGGATCATCTGAGGTTAGGAGTGTGAGACCAGCCTGGCCAACATGGTGAAAAGCTGTCTCTACTAAAACTACAAAAATTAGCTGGGCGTGATGGTGTGTCTGTAATCCTAGCTACTAAGGAAGCTGAGACAGGAGAAACACTTGAACCTGGGAGAGGCAGAGGTTACGTGAGCTGAGATTGTGCCACTGCACTCCAGCCTGTGTGACAGAGCCAAACTCTGTCACAAAACAAAACAGAACAAAAAAGTTTGGGGCTAAAGATAAAACTGTTCACAGAAAGAGAAAGGCAAATGACTCTTGATCATAAGCAAAGATAAGCAAAGATGCTTATCTCTATACATAAGAAGAAAACTATAAATTAATCCTACATTAAGATTTCATTAGTCACTTAGATTAGCAATTGTCGGCCGGGCGCGGTGGCTCACGCCTGTAATCCCAGCGCTTTGGGAGGCCGAGGCGGGCGGATCACAAGGTCAGGAGATAGAGACCACGGTGAAACCCCGTCTCTACTAAAAATACAAAAAATTAGCCGGGCGCGGTGGCGGGCGCCTGTAGTCCCAGCTACTCG